TTAAAATCAACTTTACTGAGGACAAATATCAGCCGATGTATTTAAAATAAAAACAAACTGTAAATATCAGCCCATTAACTCAGCCTACCCCCAGTTCTCAGGTAGCTAAAAACATTGTAGTACCATGTTGGAGGACAAGGAGAAATCACAAGTCGACTTTTTATTTTATTCACACTACACCAATAATATCAGATCATCTTCTCTTGCCAAGACACACTACCCTCGTCTGAATTAAAGAAGTTTGTGTAGGTTTCCCTGATGTTGAAGGAAGCCCTTGTACCTCGGTTTTCTCCCATGTTTAGCACTGCTGCCATGCGCCGCACCCCCTGCTCTTCTGCCTCATACAGCAACCTCAGGTTTTCAGACGGAGCAAGCAGGAAGTTGTGCAGAATGCAGCCTGCCATGACCAAGGTGTCCACGTGTTTAGGGTGCAGATTGATCTTTCTGAGAAAGATCCTCCATCTTGATGACAAAATGCCAAAAGCATGCTCCACTACCATCCGGGCTCGGGACATTCTGTAATTGAAGATCTTCTTGTCATGATTCAGGTTGCGTTCAGGGTAGGGCCTCATCAGATAGGTCTTTAGTGGGAAAGCTCCATTGCCCACCATTACATATGGGACATCTCCCAGGTGAGCGGCACCAGGTAGAGGAGCACTGGGTGGCACCTCTAGAGTTCCATTCTCCATGCCTCTCCCCAAATCCGATGCCGCGTACACCCCCCCATCGCTGATTTCTCCAAAGTCTCCAACTTGAATCACTCGGAAACGGAAGTCGGCATCTACTAGTGCCAACAGCACCCTGGAAAAACCATTTCTTTTGTTTAAATACCGACTGCCTGAGTTTGGTGGAGCTTGAATGACAACATGCTTGCCATCGATGGCTCCCAGGCAGTTAGGGAAATTCCATTTTGCCCAGAAACCCTGTGCCACCTCTGTCCATGTGTCCTTCGTTGGCCTGGGGAGGTGCTGCTGCATCATCAGCTTCTCTACTGCTGCACACACCATGTGAACAGAGTTTGATGCAGTGGAGTGACCTAGCCGATAGCTAGAAGCCAAGCTGATTAGGGAATCGCCAGAGGCCAAATACCTGTGAGGAAACAAAAAAAAAAAAGTAAACAAAAAGTTTCATATTCATTTTTGGTTTCCATTTCCAGCCAACGATTGCAAGACTCGATGGAGGCAGCTCAGAGACTCCTTTGTAAGACATAAAAAAAAAACATCCCTCCCAGGTAGCTCAGCTGGGGCGTCCCAGAGAGACTGGAAGTATGCTGACTTGATGTCTTTTCTCATCCCATTCATCCAGCTAAGAAGGTATGTGAAGTCCAACAGAAGCGATACGGAAAGACATTTTGTCATAAAAGGTTATAAGTACTTATTGCTGTTTTGCTGCAGCATGTTGAAATCACTAGTAAATACAAATGACACTTTAAATACAAATGACACTTTTCAATTTGAATGGAATGCACTTCCCCTCTTCTTTGCAGCTCTAAAAGCAACTTGGGCTCCATGCCCACGTCAGGGGCCGTTGAGGGTGAAGAGGCTGGTGAGGGTGATCGGTCAGAGACCACTTCATCACTAAGATCATGTGCTTCTTCACCAATTCCTCCACTCTCAGTGACCCCAGTATCAGTGAAGGTGGAAGGTGTTACCAGGTCTCGTAGCCCCATACAGAGAGCGCCACGTCCTGGGAAGGAGACGACAAAGAAGAAGAAGACCACACACATTTTGGATTTGGAGGACAGACTAATGGGTGTCCTACAAGAACCTCCTCCCAAACCAGACGTGCCCATCACAGAACAAGATGAGGCTTATCATTTTGCTCTGAGCACGGTCCCCCTCTTATTAAACCTGAACAAAAGTAGAAGGCGACAGGCAAAACAGGAAATAACCAGGATCCTTGATCTACTTAACGAGGAAGAGGAGGGGGAACATCTAGCTGCATCTCAGCATTCTGTTGGGTTCTGATCAAAACTTCCACGGACTGTTTACAGGTGGTTCAGAATGGGATGTTTATATTAAAAGGCGTATAAAAAATAAAAAAAAACTTTTAGGCACCCTGGAGTCACATCCCAGCAGCTTCACAGGATTGCTGATGGATTCTGGGGCATCCACATTTACAAAATGGTTATGTGGGTGTTTTCCACCCCCCTGTATGAAATGTGTTTTTATCATTTGATTAGCGTGCTTTTGTATTATTCCACATTGCAAATAAAGAGTGTTTCATAAAATTAGTGCTTTTATTGCCTTACATTTAGGGTAGATGGTCCTGGTTCTCAAGCGATACTGTCCAGCATGTTTTAGTTGTGTCCCTGTTCCAACACACCTGTTTTAATCAATAGGCGATTAAGCTAGATGGCCTACTGAACAGGTAATTCAACCACTAAATCTGGGGTGTTGGAGCAGGGAAACAAAACATTCAGGATATGGGGCACTCGAAGACTAGGATTGCTACCCCTGCTTCAGATTTACCTCAGTGCGACTGCCAGTCTCTGTTTGGGCTCTATGGCAGCCCTGTAGTTTGTGGACTGCTTCTGTAGTTCTGGACCAAGGATGGAGAGAAGTTCATCCATCTGCTCGGCACTCATCCGAAAGTACTCGTGATGGCGTTTTGCGTCCAGCCTCAGTTCAGCCACAAGACGATGAAAATCACCTCGCTCTGACCGTAGCCTGTTGAAGGGTCTCACCCACAAACGTCTTCTTCTATCCCTTCTAAGCATTGTTAGTAGGAGAAGGGCAGCAAATGCTTTTCTTCTGTTTATACGCACTAAAGGACAAATACAGGAAGTTAGCAAAGGCCGTAATCATATAAATAAAACAAATGACAAACATTTGGAGGTGCTAGAATCATATAACAGCTCCAATTGCTAAACTATTCGGAAATTTATGACAAAAACGACATCAGACTTAATTAAACATGACCATAACTAATCTATAATAAAACTGAGTGTGCTTACTCGTCGAACAGTCCAACGTCAACAAAAGTAACTGGGACGAATGAGGAGGACATCTATCGCGTGAACCCACGAGACTTAGAGACTCGCGAGAGCTAGTTTCCAATACGGAGACGTACAGAACACAGAAACATTAAAAAATAAAAACATTTTTCTAAAGCAAACGAACCGCAGTCCGTGTGGCTGACAGTTCGTCTGGTCAAGTGTGATTGAAGCGTTGGAGCTACGTCTCTCCCCCCTGTTGATGAACCCAAAATGCCTTAGCGTTTTATTTTGAAAATTATTTACAGGAAGTGTTTCTACTAAGCAGAGCTCAAGCCTCACGCATCTTCCTATTTTACACGCACTCACGCCACACATGTGACTTCTCACGCAGAAAATAACAAAGCCCATGCTGAAAGGGCTTCGAGTGATCACTGATCAGTTCGCTGCACTCTGCACCTAACAGCGTTGTTCAGAGCTCAGCCTAAGCCCCGCCCTCTGCGTAGCTCAGTCTGGCCTGCAGCCGAAGCTGCGGAACACTCCTTTTGACAGTTTGAGGGAAACACAAATTGATCGGATCCTTTTCTTACCTTCAATTCAATTCAAGTTTATTTATATAGCGCAAAATCACAAGAGTCGTCTCAAGACACTTCATATAGGACACATTCCAATACAGGTCAGTTCATTAAGCCAATCAGAAAAAAGTTTCCTATATAAGCAGGGACCCAGCAAATTGCAGCAATCCTCATACTAAGCAAGCATTTAGTGGCAGTGGAGAGGAAAACTCCCTTTTAACAGGAAGAAACCTCCAGAGGATCCTAGCTCAGTATAAGCAGCCATCTACCACGACTCACTGGGGACCCACCTACAAAGTTTAACTACAACAGTCAAATGAGACAGAATTTGTATTCTGAACAGTTTAAACATGTTTTTAAAAGAAACATGTGTGACAAAAGTGGCACATGCTTAACTGCACTCCACTGGGTGAAATATATCAAAACATTGTAGGCAGAGACGGACACCAGTGATCTCATCTGCGCAGAACTGGCACATCTCGAACATGGTCGTGTGTGTGTGTGTGTGTGTGTGTGTGTGTGTGTGTGTGTGTGTGTGTGTGTGTGTGTGTGTGTGTGTGTGTGTGTGTGTGTGTGTGTGTGTGTCAGTGTGTGTGTGAAGTGCCTTGGGGAGCTTGTACCTAGGAAGGTGCACTACAGATACAGGTTATTTACCGTTTTGCTCAATTTTCTCTTTGAATTTTAATGTTTACTGATGTGGTTTGTATTTATTTTAGGTGATTTGTTTTTATGTAGTGTATTATTAAACAGCACTTGTTCAACTTTGTTGTGACTTGAAAGGGCTTTATACACAAATTGAATGGCAGGGTATGGAAAATAAACAAAACTTCCGCTGAGCATTTGTCGCCCTCTTGTGGTCACTAGTGGTATAAAACTTTTGTAAATGAAATGAGAAAGGAATACAAAAATTTAATATTTTCTTTTTGTTTGTTTTGTATGTATGATTTTGGTATTTGTTTCGTGATATGCTGTAATAGCGCATGTGCTTTGTAAATCAAGCTGCCATTTTTCCTTTGAGATGTTTAGTTCAGCAGTTCAGTTTTATTTTACACCAAGATTTTGTTAATTTAGTTTCTTTATATTTTCTTCAGGAATAAATATACATGAGCATACCGTTTCTTTATTACCAGTACTTGATTTTGTGTTTCATGCAATGACCGTAGAAACTGGTTTAATCACTACACAGGCATTTCGTTAGTTGCTTTTTGTCCCTTCCGTCGCTCCGTAATTTCTCGTCTTTCTTTCTGTTGAGGCCAAAGATGGCAGGAGCTCCTCCATGCCCCAGCCGGTTCTTCTGTCACAGATGCTCGGTAGAGATTAGTCCTCGGCTTCCCGTAAGTCAGACGAATACGGAATGTTAGGAATAACAGTTAAGCATAAAAAATCATAGTAAAGTTGTTTGTGCTTTTGTATATTTTGTTGTAGCAGCGTAACATTCTTTAGCATGCTAATAGTATTAGCTTTCTGTCTCGTTCACGGTAGCGACCAGCCTGTTAGCTTATAAATGTCCGGATCTGCCAGCTTTTAAACAGAACAGAACTGCGTAGTCACTACGCTCTAGCTCTCTCCAGTGTCTCATATATATATATATATATATATATATATATATATATATATAATGTATGTATATGTATACAACAGCTGAAAAGTCAAAACCTACCACCTTTTCTCTGAAAGGCAACAGTGCAGCCAACTGCACCACTGCTCGTAATGTTATACAGTATCAAATTCTTTAAAGAATCTTGTCTAATACTAGTTCAAGTTAGTAATATTAACTAGTATTAGTTCTAACTCTAAGCCTAAATATTGTAATATCTAAGTTAAATTTAGTCACGCATCCACACATTTTTCTTGATGGTGAAATGACAGTGAGTGACGAACAAAGTGGACCCTGTCTGCAAACACAACGTGCTCTTTGTTTAGCAAGATTTTAATCGCTCCAAAAAGAAGTTCAAATATTCTTTAGAACCAAAGGTTTGTGTGATGGAATTTCTGTGGACTGAAGTTTTTCTCCCCCATCAGATTTATATCTGGATAGTTTAGATGACAGCTAGCTCTGTACATTGTTCATTGAGACATTCCTAAAATATTTTATGGGGCGCAGTGCCATCCACCTGTAAATAAGCTGTTAAATTAATGGATGGCTGTTACAATTTTAGAAGCATGATTGGATCAATTTAAGCTACTTGCTTTATCTGATGGAGCTCGTTATGTTGTGGCTAATCAGTGATGAATCACTTGTAAAGCCCCTTTGAATTATATCATTTCATTCGATATTCAGAGCTTCAGTTGAAATGATTCAATCACAGTAGGGCTGCACAATATATCGCAAATATATCATCATCGCAATATCGGCATGCGCAATATGCATATCGCAAAGAACAGATACATATAATGAATGGTCAGCTCAACTGTTCTGTCAATCAAATGGGAGCATGATGTTTTTTTAACAAATCAAATAGAGCTCTTCATCCATTTGGCCAATTGGGTGGGTTCTCATAGGTTAGATGCCCACCCCCAACACTTAATTTGGATGGTTAGCAAACACCTGAGTTAGCTTTGTTCTGTTCTTTCTGCTGATTCTGCTTTTTCCGGGATCCACTGGTTGCCCTTTCTTGTTCATTTTCTTTTTTTCCTTTCCTCACATCTTTAGCTTTTCTTATTTTTATGATTTATTTTTGTCATTTTTATATTTCTTTGTTTTTGATACATTTTGTTTCTGAGTTAAAAATTTTTTTATCGCAAATAATATCATCATGGCAATATTAATCACTGATATTGCAGTTTTTTTTTATTATCGTGCAACCCTAATTCTCAGCTAATTTTCCTGACATTAACTTGGACAGATCAGGCGTAATGATCAATGTTGGTGTCTGTTATGGTAACTAGTTTTAAAACGATTGACTGATGTTAAATCAACTTCAAATAGATTGACGTTAAATCCAAAACTTAACAATCATTGATGAAACACCAGATTTTTTTTATTCTTAACTCATTCGCTGCCAGCTGTTTCCTGATCGGTGAAGCCCTTCGCTGCCAGTGTTTCTCACCGTTTTTACTGTTTTTTTAAGAGTCACAGAACGTTGTGCGCTAGCATGATGTCGACGCCAAAACAACCAAAACAAAGTGGAGACTCACCTCTTACATCAGGAAGAATCTGCGTTTCGAGCTTTATCCGCTCTTTCATAATCCGTTGTTGAATTGTGATCGGCAGAAGCTTTTCCGGTTCGCGCTTCACGTTTTTTTACAGCAGTGGCCCAAAACGATCTCCTAACACATAGATTTTCTGCTTCCTGATCACATGATGTGTGACGTATGCGGATGAAGATCGGCTTTAGAGCTGAGATGTTTGTTCTTACGGTGAGGGGGCTCGTTCCGATGCTCACACAGTAAAAAAAATGCAAATGACAACTTGAGGCGTCATTGGCAGTGAATGAGTTAAAGTTTAACTACAAAACAATTGAATCCCATGTTTATTTTTTCTATTGTGAATCTGTTTAATACCTGATTGTCAAACTGATCATATTTCAGTTTGACCTATACGTGGCCCTGTGTAATCATAGCGTTTTAGGTTTACTCACATCATTTTCAGCAGCAGCAATATGACGAACATGTTTAGAAACAGGATTGCACACACAAACCCATTCTCTGGAATAGTCTCACCGCTTTATAACCCTGGTACCCTGAGTTAAAGTGTATTCTTCTGTCTTGGTTTCTTTTTTATTTATTTATTTTTTTTTTCTGTACGTTTATTTTCATTTATTCACATTTAAAAACAAAACACAAAACAGGCTTGCGAAAACAATGAAAATGGAACAGAAAGAAGCAAAATTTATGTTATCTGTTCCCCTTAACCAAAATAATCACAAATGACAACAAAGTTATTATAGTAAAAAACAAATAAAAATAAAAACTGTCTGACCTGGTTTACTGATTTAGCTTTGGCAAAAAATGGAGAGAAAACAAATATGTACACAATTTTTTTTCTTATATTAATGAAAGGAGAAAACAAATGATGCAAAATAAAACACAAAAAATAATAGCTAAAAGAAACAAAGTAGAACAAACAAAGTGTGTTTTCCATTTCTCTCTACTTCATAAATACATCAATCTCATAGCATCATATAAGCTAAGCATTTCATTTTTGATATGTTTATTAAAGGTATATTATTGTTTTGGTATTCTTGATTTCGGTACTTAATTTATTCCACATTTTGACTCCATATATTGATACACAGCGTTCCTTTATATTTATCCTATGTTTTGGTATCGTGTATATTTAGTTGCCTTTCAAATCATAACTACTCTTTCTTTCCATAAATCTTATGATCAAATTTGTTGGAAGGTGCTTTTTGTCGACTTTATACATAAATTTCAAAATGGTGTAATTCTTCTGTTTGTTGACAGGAGTACATGTGTCCCAGATGTGAGTCGGGATTCATCGAAGAGCTGCTAGAAGAAAGAAGGTGAAAAAAGCCAAAATCCTGCTTAAACCAGTGTTTTAACTATAATTCTGTGTTTTATAGAAAAAAATGAGAAAAGTAGGGGTGCACCATTATGACATTTATGCTACTGAAATCATTAAATTTTGTATAAACAGAAATTTATGCAAGCTGAATGTTTGAATGTCTTACACAGTTTGCAATCTTTAGAAATAAAGTGATCCCTCGCTACTTCGCGGTTCGTTTATCACGGATTCACGACTTCGCAGATTTTTCTTTGGAGCCTTATTCAAGGGAAATTCGCCGATTCACGGTATTTTTCACCGATTCGCGGTATTTTTTTATGCGAAATATCAAGAAATTCCAGTTTTTTTCATCAATTTCATCATAAAATGCACTTTTTGTAATAAAACTATATAAAACCAAGTAAAAAAATGTTTTCTTGAGTTTTACCCACAAAAAGAGAATGTGATCATACAATAATTCAATATAGTACTGTACTGTAAATATGGTGTCCCGACTTCGCAGATTTTCACCTATCGCGCCCAGGTCTGGAACGCATCTACCGCGATAAACGAGGGATCACTGTAGTGTGTGTGTGTGTGTGTGTGTGTGTGTGTGTGTGTGTGTGTGTGTGTGTGTGTGTGTGTGTGTGTGTGTGTGTGTGTACGTGCGCATACAGACATCACACACAGTTTTCCTTCTGAGATGATTACTATCACTGTCACATGACTAAACAATTACACATCATCACCCCCCTGACCCTCTGAAACAGATACACAAACCGAAACAAGATGGAAGAAATATTGGTTTTTAATATTGGCCCCGTTTTACACATTGAACTGATGTGTTAAAAAATGACTAACATCGGCCGATACCAATATTCATGCCGATTTATTGTGCATCCTTAGATAAAAGTGTTGTTAACGTTCTTTTTATTAATTTTTTTTTCAAGTTTCTAATAAACTACGATTTATTTTTTTGGTTCTGCTACTAGGATGTTATTTTGTTAAATAATGTTGAAGGTGGAATCACTTATTTTCATTTGGCGTAGCCATATAAAGAACATTTGAAAGCAGTATTAAAACTTAGAGCACGTGTACTTGAGCTGGACAATAGTTCAATAACGATATACACAGTATATTGATGGATGTACTGCACGATAGTAAAGGAAAAAAAAAGGTCAATAAAAACTTCAATAAAAAGTTTCCTTTCATTTTTCTATCAGAGCCTATCGGGTAGCTTAATGTTAGACTTATTACTTACTCCCAACCAATCAAAAACACAGACCCAGGCACGCCCTCCCCTCTCAGACCAGAACAGACAGCAAGATTTCGCGGCATGGAGCAGTGGAGGAAATTGTCCTCCACATGTCTGATGAAAAAAAGGCACCATGGTCAGTTGAAAAATTAGCAGAATCGATAAAAATCTAGTTAAAGGGACTTTTCGGACTTTTGAATTTTTATGCTCCTGATTTCCCCCTCAGGCCAAAACCGTAACGGCAGCTTCAGTTGTAGGCTCGTGCACGAGGCGCGCATGCTGTACGTGCACACTCAACGAAAATAACAGCTGAGAGCGCACAGAGCTCTGAGAGCGTTGTGTGTGTGTGTGTGTGTGTGCGCGCGCGCACGTGCGTGTGCGTGCGTGTGCGTGTGTGGCCCGGAGGACAGAAGAACACAGCAAATTAATAAAATAATGTGCCTCTGTCTCTGCAGCTGCACTTTCTCGTCGGCCGGCTGAAGGTGCAGTGTGTGTGTGTGTGTGTGTGTGTGTGTGTGTGTGTGTGTGTGTGTGTGTGTGTGTGTGTGGCCTGGAGGACAGTAGAACACGCAGCTAATTAATTAAATAATTTGGTTCTGCACATTTTTCTTCGGCACATCCGTCAAATGTTTATGATGGGTCAGTCCTCCTGCATGCTCAGATCATTCCTTCCCTTGCTGGCTATTTTGTTGCTAATTTGCAGGAAATATCTAGAAGAAAGTTCTGCAGAAAGTAGCTAAGGGTCCCCAGAAATGTAGCTAGCTTCGTCACTAGGCGTTAGGAACAGCGACAAAGTGGCACTGCCTCTCTCTCTGCTGCTAAAGCTACGGATAGCAAATGCTACGGGCGATGCCTGAGCGTGAACGTGCATGAAGCAGCCTGCTCGACCTGAGCAGCTCTCTTTTTCTGTGATTTTTCAGAAAACAGCCAATCACAGTAAAAATGCCAGGGCTCATTCTCCAGGACCAGGGCATTGCAGGAGAATGTATGAAGAAGACATTTATTATTTCTATACATGTTTTGGCTGTCAAACTTCCTTATAGTCCCTTTAAGTAACAAAGTCAACTTGTTTTATCATAAATTAATGACATCAAGTGGCCAGGGCTGCACTTAAAACATATTTTCTATATATTTTTCTAATCAAAAATTATTTATATCAATTAATATGCTTTTGTTCTGTATCTTCCAGCCCTCACATGTACTCATTGTACGTGTTTTAGGAGGAGAATCTTCAGGAAAGAATTCTGATAAAAATCTTTGTTTTCATAAGAAACTGGACATGTGGTGTGAAACCATTTTCCTTCTGCGTTACAAAGTCCATGCATGACCTTATCCATTATCTGTCTTCTGTTTTAGTGCTGACAATGGGTCCACGTCCACCATCTCCAGCGGGCCCCAAAGCCAACAACCATTTGAGGTTTCTAAACTGGTCTTTACTCAGACCTTTACCTTCTTTCTGCACATGTGTGGCTCTGATAGGCGCCATGTTGTGTAACACATTCAGCATTTTCAGCAACTAAAAAAAATCTGCTTCCACTGACATTTGTGCCGATCTCGTGCTTGATGATGATGGGGTTTGTCACAGGGTTACCACTTCCACTTGTTAACTGCAGTTTGGAGTTTTAGAATGCATTGATTCCTTTACATATTTTTGCACATTGCATCATTTCAAGCTCCATGTTTAACTTTTGTCATTTCTGTGGATATATTTTACTTGAATAAAGCAACTGTCCTCATTAAACAGAAAATGCTGTATAAAAAGTGTTTTAATTGCTTGTTCCTTACTGTCTGTTATCTGTTTGTCCACCAGAATGCAGACCAGCACTTATTTACGTTCCCATCAGGCTATGGTCAGTTTGCCCTCAGCGTCTATGACGACAGCCTCGATTTCGGAGTTGGACTCGGACCAGGGGATAACCGGGATGCTGAAAACCGGTGGGAAAGGGAATCGGCATCGCGACAGAGATACAGTGCCAGGCAACCCAGAAGTCGGCACGGATCCAGACGACAAGCAGGAAGGCATGAAGGAGTTCCTACTTTAGAGGGGTAGGATGAACCCATATCTGATATTTTTTTATGACGGTCTGAACGGCACTGATCCAATTTTTCCTAAATGCCAGGCTTATAAATCGCTGGGGGAAACCCTGTAGTGTGAACGGCCACACAGAAAATCAGATTTACTCAAAAAAACGGAATTGAGCATCAAGATCTGTAGTGGGAACGCAGCCTTTGTCTCCCTTGATGCCTTCCATTGTTATGAGCCCAGTCACACGTTTCTTTTGTGCTTTTATTTTGTAGAATCATTCAACAGCTAGTGAATGGAATAATCACACCTACTGCAATGCCAAATGTTGGTGTTGGATCCTGGTGAGTCTGTGAAAAAGAACTTTATCAAACCAAAATTCAAACTGAAAACAAATGTGCTTATTTAATCCTGCCATGTAAATTTTAAAGGGGCGTCCTTCACTCAAATCCAATGGACTATGCCTGGGGTGCCAATGGGCTTGATGCTATTATTACACAGGTATTTCCTCATAAAAACATTTTTGCGTGCATTTTTCTAGTTAAAGAAACAAAAATCCTAGATGTTGTTTAAGCGAGTCTGGACCTTGATTGTATTTATTTTATTGTCTTCTTTTTTTAATTTTTAGTTACTGCACCAGTTTGAGAACACAGGACCACCGCCTGCTGACGGGGATAAAATAAAAAATCTCCCTACCGTACAAGTTACAGATGGACATGTTGGTAAGTCTAACAATAATAAATAAAACAAGTGTTTCATTGGTGAATTTGTTTCTATTTTTTCTTCTGTAGATGCACTATATAACCTAGCCTAGGAATCTAAACCAACCGCAGTAAAAAAAAAGATTTTCCCTTGCAGGTCAGCCTGGCCATGGTTCATTTTAGCCTCAGCAGCTCTACCATTGGCCCGAACAGTTTAATTATATGTATATATATATATATATATATATGTACAGTGGAGCAAAAAAGTATTTAGTCAGCCACCGATTGTGCAAGTTCTCCCACTTAAAATGATGACAGAGGTCAGTAATTTTCATCAAAGGTACACTTCAACTGTGAGAGACAGAATGTGAAAAAAAAAATCCATGAATTCACATGGCAGGATTTTTAAAGAATTTATTTGTAAATCAGGGTGGAAAATAAGTATTTGGTCAATAACAAAAATTCAACTCAATACTTTGTAACATAACCTTTGTTGGCAATAACAGAGGTCAAACAATTACTATAGGTCTTTACCAGGTTTGCACACACAGTAGCTGGTATTTTGGCCCATTCCTCCATGCAGATCTTCTCGAGAGCAGTGATGTTTTGGGGCTGTCGCCGAGCAACACGGACTTTGAACTCCCTCCACAGATTTTCTATGGGGTTGAGGTCTGGAGACTGGCTAGGCCACTCCAGGACTTTCAAATGCTTCTTACGGAGCCACTCCTTTGTTGCCCGGGCGGTGTGTTTGGGATCATGGTCGTGTTGGAAGACCCAGCCACGTTTCATCTTCAAAGCTCTCACTGATGGAAGGAGGTTTTCGCTCAGAATCTCACGATACATGGCCCCATTCATTCTGTCCTTAACACGGATCAGTCGTCCTGTCCCCTTAGCAGAAAAACAGCCCCAAAGCATGATGTTCCCACCCCCTTGCTTCACAGTAGGTATGGTGTTATTGGGATGCAACTCAGTATTCTTCTTCCTCCAAACACGACGAGTTGAGTTTATACCAAAAAGTTCTACTTTGGTTTCATCTGATCACGTGACATTCTCCCAATCCTCTGCTGTATCATCCATGTGCTCTCTGGCAAACTTCAGACGGGCCTGGACATGCACTGGCTTCAGCAGCGGAACACGTCTGGCACTGCAGGATTTGAGTCCCTGCCGTTGTAGTGTGTTACTGATGGTGACCTTTGTTACTGTGGTCCCAGCTCTCTGCAGGTCATTCACCAGGTCCCCCGTGTGGTTCTGGGATTTTTGCTCACCGTTCTCATGATCATTTTGACCCCACGGGATGAGATCTTGCGTGGAGCCCCAGATCGAGGGAGATTATCAGTGGTCTTGTATGTCTTCCATTTTCTGATAATTGCTCCCACAGTTGATTTTTTCACACCAAGCTGCTTGCCTATTGTAGATTCACTCTTCCCAGTCTGGTGCAGGTCTACAATTCTTTTCCTGGTGTCCTTCGAAAGCTCTTTGGTCTTGGCCATAGTGGAGTTTAGAGTCTGACTGTTTGAGGCTGTGGACAGGTGTCTTTTATACAGATAATGAGTTCAAACAGGTGCCATTAATACAGGTAACGAGTGGAGGACAGAAAAGCTTCTTAAAGAAGACGTTACAGGTCTGTGAGAGCCAGAGATTTTCCTTGTTTGAAGTGACCAAATACTTATTGTCCATCCTGATTTACAAATAAATTCTTTAAAAATCCTGGCATGTGAATTCATGGATTTTTTTTTCACATTCTATCTCTCACAGTTGAAGTGTACCTCTGTCATCATTTTAAGTGGGAGAACTTGCACAATCGGTGGCTGACTAATTTTTTGCCCCACTATATATATATATATATATATATATATATATATATATATATATATATATATACAGGTGCTGGCCAGTAAATTAGAATATCATCAAAAGGTTGAAAATATTTCAGTAATTCCATTCAAAACGTGAAACTTGTACATTATATTCATGCAATGCACACAGACCAATATATTTCCGATGTTTATTACGTTTAATTTTGATATTTATAGGTGACAACCAATGAAAACATCAAATCTGGTATCTCAGAAAATTAGAATATTCTAAAGGCCAATGAAAAAATGTTTGTTTCTCTAATGTTGGCCAACTGAAAAGAATGAACATGAAAAGAATGTGCATGTATAGCACTCAATACTTAGTCGGGGCTCCTTTTGCCTCAATAACTGCAGTAATGCGGCGTGGCATGGACTCGATCAGTCTGTGGCACTGCTCAGGTGTTATGAGAGCCCAGGTTGCTCTGATAGTCGTCTTCAGCTCCTCTGCATTGTTGGGTCTAGCGTATTGCATCCTCCGCTTCACAATACCCCATAGATTTTCTATGGGGTTAAGGTCAGGCGAGTTTGCTGGCCAATCAAGGACAGGGATACCATGGTCCTTGAACCAGGTGCTGGTGGTTTTGACACTGTGTGCAGGTGCCAAGTCCTGTTGAAAGGTGAAGTCTGCATCCCCATAAAGTTGGTCAGCAGCAGGAAGCATGAAGTGCTCTAAAACTTCCTGGTAGACGGCTGCATTGACCCTGGACCTCAGGAAACAGAGTGGGCCAACACCGGCAGATGACATGGCACCCCACACCATCACTGACGGTGGAAACTTTACACTGGACCTCATGCAACGTGGATTCTGTGCTTCTCCGCTCTTCCTCCAGACTCTGGGTCCTTGATTTCCAAAGGAAATGCAGAACTTGCTTTCATCAGAAAACATAACTTTGGACCACTCAGCATCAGTCCAGTCCTTTTTGTCCTTGGCCCAGGCGAGACGCTTCTTGCGCTGTTTCTTGTTCAAGAGTGGCTTGACACACGGAATGCGACACCTGAATCCCATGTCTTTCATGAGTCTCCTCGTGGTGGTTCTTGAAGCGCTGACTCCAGCTGCAGTCCACTCTTTGTGGATCTCCCCCACATTTTTGAATGGGTTTGTCGTCACAATTCTCTGCAGGGTGCGGTTATCCCTAGAGCTTGTACACTTTTTTCTACCACATTTTTTCCGTCCCTTCGCCTGTCTGTTAATGTGCTTGGACACAGAGCTCTGCGAACAGCCAGCTTCTTTAGCAATCACCTTTTGTGTCTTGCCCTCCTTGTGCAAGGTGTCAATGATTGTCTTTTGGACAGCTGTTAAGTCAGAAGTCTTCCCCATGATTGTGGTGCCTTCAAAACAAGACTGAGGGACCTTTTAAAGGCCTTTGCAGGTGTTTTGAGTAAATCAGCTGATTAGAGTGGCAGCAGGTGTCTTCTATATTCAGCCTTTTCAGAATATTCTAATTTTTTGAGATACCAAATTTGGAGTTTTCATTAGTTGTCACTTATGAATATCAAATTTAAATGTAATGAACATTGGAAATACATTGGTCTGTGTGCATTGCATGAATATAATGTACAAGTTTCACGTTTTGAATGGAATTACTGAAATATTTTCAACCTTTTGATGATATTCTAATTTACTGGCCAGCACCTGTATATATATATATAAAACAAAGGAACAGCCCTGGTTTAAAACAGCTTTTGCATCAGCTGTGAATGATTTCAACTTGGGCTTTTTTCAAAACATGAGCAGAAAGAGGTACTTAATTCTTGGTTTGTAAAAAGGATGCAACAGCATTTGTTGTCAAACAGGAAATGGGAGTGGAGTAAGACTCTTTAATGTTCAAAGGTTACATATTCCACAAGTTTGGAGGAATAACAGAAAATGCACGATGGCCCCATGATTTCAGTTGAACCAATGGGTCAGCTGACAAAAGTGAATGGGTTGGAACATAACCATTTAACATCAATTAGAAGTACTTGAGAGTCATGTTGAAGTAAGATTTTAAATCTAATCCCATAGCGGATTGGAAGCCAGTGAAGTGCCGCTAACACTGGGGTAACATGTTCCCGCCTCGATTTATCTGTCAGAGATTGTGCCACGCTGTTTTGAACCATCTGAAGTCTCTCAGTAGCCTTCTGGCTCATTCTAGCATACCGGTAGATGAAATTACAATAATCTAGCCTGGATGAATACATCTCTAATGAAGGCTTGGAAAAGATTGGCTTAATCCTAGCAATGCGACGAAGATGAATAAAGCAGATGTTCACAATGCCGTTCACTTGGCTATCAAGCTTGAGTGCAATGTCCATAAGATCTCCCAAATTTTTAACAGCCAGTCTTGAACACGAACAATAAACTAACTTTTGCTGTTGACTAAAATAATGTTTTTTTGTTATTTTTCTTACACTCACTTGTGTGAAATTTGTAGCCAAAGGCAGGTGGCATATAGTGCTGACATGCTGTGACTCAATACCATTGTAACATGCTTTTTCAGCCTCAGCCCTGGAATGTCCCGTGTGTAAAGAAGATTACAGTGTTGGTGAAAATGTGAGGCAGCTCCCGTGCAATCACATGTTTCACAATGACTGCATAGTACCTTGGCTGGAACAGGTATTAAACACGACCATCTTTCTTCTCTGATTACAGTACATAGTGTTGTTTGAAACAGGAGGGGGGGGGGGGGGTAAACGTCTGCAGTAACACTGAAACGATGCCATGTTTGTTCTCCCCCAGCATGACACTTGTCCAGTATGCAGGAAAAGCCTGAGTGGACAGAACACAGCAACAAACCCTCCAGAGCTATCAGGGATGAACTTTACCTCCTCTTCCTCTTCTTCCTCATCTTCTTCCACCCCTCAGTCCTCAGGGTCAACCAGCAACGAGAACTCCACTGATAACTCATAGAGAGGGCTTTTTTTTTATGTTCATCCTCTGAGCTGTTCGTAGCTCCCAGCCTGCTGTGCTTCAGAGCAGTGACCTCCAGACCCCTCTTTGTGGTAGGGCAGAGGCCCGAGTGCATCTCAGCAGGATCACTCAGGTCTGATTCAAGGGTAAGTGATACGTGTTTGTGTACATCTGCCCATCGCTTCACGCCCAACACCCCCACCTTCATCAGGAATCTGAACAATGGATGCGTGGAAGCCTGGAGTGCAGCTTCTTACGATAAGGAAAGGCTTGGAAACTTCAAAACACTTGATTGAGACACTTCATACAAGGAGAGAAAATAAAGGAATCCAAAGGTAGAAGAGTAGGGACACTAAGACAATTACCATTCTTCTTCTTTATGTTGTTTTCTTTAAAACTCAACTCGTTTGACTTATGGCTCTTTGGCCAAAGTGAATGAAATTATATCATTTTTCTAACAAGCAGCATTCATATCTTAGAGTGCACTATTGTGCACTGGTGACATGTGCACTACGATGTATTAATCGTTTAAAATAATATGTTTATTATCTTTGTCTTATCTGAATTTTTTGCAGTAGTTTATATATTTATTGTATTTTGATTCTCATGCTGATTTAGGGTTACCTGTCATGTGGCTGGTATCATGGTTTTCACTTGAAATTATTTTTTAACTGCAGTAAATGTTTGAATAAATCAAATTATCCTAAATTACACTCTTAAGGATGTATGACAATTACATTTTTAAGCCAAAATTAAAACAGGTAATGTTTTAAGATGATGCCAGTGGGACAAACAAGAAAAAGGTATAATTATGTACTAGAAAATGAACTAACTGCTATGGAAATAAAAATGTGTCTGCTACTTCTTTGTTTACACAAGTCATTCTTTTTTTAAAGCAGAGTACACAAAAATAGACTTAAAGGTGTGGTTTACTGAAAAGTAGGGCTGCACAATATATCGAAAAATTGTCGTCATCGCGATAACAGGACGTGCGATAGGCCCATCGCAAAACACGGCAAAAACAGCGATAAATGTTTGGTTCAAACATTTCCATCCAACATAGCTCCTAGGATCATTAGGGCACTTAGTGCCCCTGGTAGGGTCTCCCATGACAAATTGGTCTTAGGTGAAGGGTGAGACAAAGAACGGTTCGAAGGATCTTTCATGGCGGTTAAAACGAAGAGTCGGAGTACCCGGCCCGGAGGGTTACCGGGGTCCCACCCTGGAGCCAGGCCTGGGGTTGGGGCCCGTGAGCGAGCGCCTGGTGGCCGGGCTTTCGCCCATGGGGCCCGGCCGGGCCCAGCCCGAACCGGATACATGGGCTCGTCCAACTGTGGACCCACCACCCGCAGGAGGAACATGAAGGGTCCGGTGCAATGCGAATCGGGTGGCAGACCAAGGTGGGAGCCTTGGCGGTCCAATCCCCGGACAAGAAAACTAGTTTTTGGGACATGGAACGTCACCTCGCTGGCGGGGAAGGAGACGGAACTTGTGGCAGAGGTTGAGCGGTACCGGCTAGATATAGTCGGACTCACCTCGACACATTGCATTGGCTCTGGAACCCGAGACCTGGAGAGGGGTTGGACACTCTACTTTGCTGGAGTTGCTCCGGGTGAGAGGCGGAGGGCTGGGGTTGGCTTTTTGTTAGCCCCGAGACTCTCTGCCTGTGTGTTGGGGTTTACCCCGGGGGACAAGAGGGTAGCTTCCTTGCGCCTTCGGGTCGGGGAACGGGTCCTGACTGTTGTTTGTGCTTATGGGCCAAATATCAGTTCAGAGTACCCACCCTTTTTGGAGTTCCTGGGACGAGTGCTAGATAGTGCTCCATCAGGGGACTCCATTGTCCTGCTGGGGGACTTCAATGCTCACGTGGGCAATGACAGCTTGACCTGGAGGGGTGTGATTGGGAGGAACGGCCCACCTAATCTGAACTCGAGCGGTGTTTTGTTATTGGACTTCTGTGCAAGCCGCAGTTTGGCCATAACGAACACCATGTTCGAACATAAGGATGCCCACCGGTACACTTGGTACCAGGGCAGCCTAGGTCACAGGTCGATGATAGATTTTGTAGTCGTATCATCTGACCTGCGGCCGTATGTTTTGGACACCCGAGTGAAGAGAGGGGCGGAGCTGTCAACTGATCACCACCTGGTGGTGAGTTGGATCAGAAGGCAAGGGAACATGCCGCGTAGACCTGGCAGACCCAAACGCATAGTGAGGGTCTGCTGGGAAAGCCTGGCAGAAGAACCTGTCAAGACGGTCTTCAACTCCCACCTCCGGCAGAGCTTTGACCACGTCCCGAGAGCAGTGGGGGACATTGAGTCCGAGTGGGCCTTGTTCCACTCTGCGATTGTCGAGGCGGCTGTTGCTAGCTGTGGTTGTAAGGTGGCCGGTGCCAGTCGTGGTGGCAACCCCCGTACCCGCTGGTGGACACCAGAGGTTCGGGGAGCCGTCAGGCTGAAGAAGGAGGCCTACAGGGCGTGGCTGGTCTGTGGGTCTCCGGAGGCAGCAGACAGGTACCGGATAGCCAAGCGGAGTGCAGCAGTGGCAGTTGCCGAGGCAAAATCTCGGGCGTGGGAGGAGTTTGGTGAGGCCATGGAGAAAGACTATCGATCGGCTCCAAAGAGGTTCTGGCAAACTGTCCGGCGCCTCAGGAGAGGAAGGCAGCAACTCGCTCACACTGTTTACAGTGGGGATGGGGAGCTGCTGACGTCAACTGAGGCTATAGTCGGACGGTGGAAGGAATACTTTGAGGAGCTCCTCAATCCCACCAATGCGCATTCCGAGGAGGAACCAGAGCTGGGAGGCCTGGGGATGGACTGTCCGATCTCGGGGGCAGAAGTTGCTGAGGTAGTCAAACAACTACACAGCGGCGGAGCCCCGGGGGCGGATGAGGTTCGTCCTGGGTATCTCAAGGCTATGGATGTTGTAGGGCTGTCATGGTTGACACATCTCTACAACATTGCGTGGTCATCGGGGGCAGTTCCTAGGGAGTGGCAGACCGGGGTGGTGGTCCCCATCTTTAAGAAGGGTGACCTGAGGGTGTGTTCCAACTATAGGGAGATCACACTCCTCAGCCTCCCTGGAAAGGTCTACTCCAAGGTACTGGAGAGGAGGGTCCGATCGATAGTTGAATCTCAGATAGAGGAGGAACAAGCTTTGGGTAATGACCGAAAGAACGAGATCGCGGATACAAGCGGCCGAAATGAGTTTCCTCCGTAGGGTGGCCGGGCTCAGCCTTAGAGACAGGGTGAGGAGCTCGGACATTCGGGAGGGACTCGGAGTAGAACCGCTGCTCCTCCGGATCGAAAGGAGCCAGTTGAGGTGGTTTGGGCATCTGGTCAGGATGCCTCCTGGACGCCTCCCCGGGGAGGTGTTTCGGGCATGTCCTGCCGTCAGAAGGCCCCCGGGTCGACCCAGGACACGTTGGAGAGGTTACATCTCCAATCTGGTCCGGGAACGCCTTGGGGTCCTGCCGGAGGAGCTGGTGGACAAGGCCGGGGAGAGGACGGCCTGGAGCTCCCTAGTTGGGATGCTGCCCCCGCGATCCGGACCCGGATAAGCGGAGGAAGACGACGACAACGACCTTTCCATCCATGTCATACATGAGCTTTTTGTAAACCAGCTCTGTTTTTTACGCCGAAGTATTATTTGACCAATCAAATGTGGTCCATCTGATATGCGGCCAATCAGATGGTTCCGTTCACGTAATACGCCCGCCCCCTACATAGACCCTTTTGGAAAGCAACTCCCGAACAGAGTTTGCGGCGCTGTTCCCTTGTTCGTCATGCTGGCTCAGAGCAGCGAACGCACTTTGTGCTGAGGTTTCGGTATTCAGCGTTGCTTTCAAACGTGAACGTGACTCCGCTCAGTGTCGTTAATCATTTTTACCGGGCTGACTCCGACATGTGCCCGTGAACCAACCCACCTTCCTGTCGCTAGTGTTAGCCCCAGGCTCCGGTTAGCTTCCAGCTAAAAGGCTACAGCACTCTCCTCCCAGTCCCACCCTGCTAAAGAGGGCCTGGAAAAGTTCCCCCACACATCAAAGTGATTTTTCATTTATGAGCTTTTATAACCTTATTAATCAGGATAGTTGATTTGCTGCTGCACATAAACTGTAAGTCAGAAGCTCTGCTAGCCGGTTATCTTAGAGGAGCTAGTTCAATTTGTTAGCTTGTTATCAGAATCATAGTTGCAGTTTCATCATCTGAGCTGCTTCTTAAGATCCAGGTAAACTTGTTCAATTTGGGGTTAAAAACAAACATTTTCACATATTTTCCATGTAGTTTTTTGCCAGTTCCTCTTCTGAAAGGTAGACAATTGTTTTTCCTCTTTCCCTCAAAAAATCTTAATATTCTCCTAGTTTGGCCCAGCACAGTTCACTTCCCAATTACAGCAACAGCCTTATATCATAACCACATAAGTGGAGAAAATGTTCAGTAGCAATGAGAGAATTTGCTGTTGCATTTAAGTGATGTTAACTATTTAACATTTAAACTTATTTTCTGAATTTTTTTTAATTCAAAAAACTCTGGTAAGGGATGTTTTTCTGTATTTGGAGCATCAGAAAAGTTTTATGGTGGTGGTGATGTTTTAAAGTCACTGAGAAACTGCATGCATGCAGTTTGTTGTTTTGCTGTTAATACAGTAGCAGGTGCAGCTGCTAATACAGTAGCAGGTGCAGCTGCATATTTTTGCAATAAAAATGTTATGTTGTAATGGAATTCATGCATTAGTTTTTGTTTGCTTTGAACCCAGAGCAGACGTCACACGGCAGGCGACATCAACACTGCATACTTTAGCATTTGTTCATTTATCGTGAGTAATATCGATATCGCAATATTAAGCACTGTTATCGAATATCGCAGGTTTTCATAAAATCGTGCAGCCCTACTGAAAAGCTACATGAAAACTATCTCCTACACCTCTTGCATTAGCTTCTGATAGAAAATAGACGGTGAAACTAGGATTTGAAATGTCTGACAGATCTACGTCGCACTGTCACTTAACATTCATGGACCAACCCATCTTGGTTCAGCGTCTAGGAAACAGAGAATGTCTTGACTAGTAGAAGCTAACCGTTAGCACTAGCAACTTTACAACAGGGCAGAACTTCAGGTTTGTTTTATTTGTAGAGATATATCAACGTTGCAGAGCAAACAGTCAGTGGTAGAGTTGTGTTGCTGTTATCCAATCCGAGGCGAGATGTCAGAATATCAGTCCAAATCCTGCAGTCTGAAGCTCAACTTTTTTTTTTTGTCTTCTAGTTCCTGAAACGGGCGCACCGGAGCTATTTTCCTTAGAGTATGACCTACAAGGCATTCATTCCTACTAGAGACCACTGCAAATGTGTTAAACGAGTGAATCACACCTTTATGGATTTTCAAAAGGCATTAATTGTGTTAAATGATATATTTTATTAGTGTGGAAATACCTGGTGATTATCTGTATACATTATTTGTTCCTAGCAGATTAGTTTTATTTAGAAATGTTTTTTTTTATTAGTAGTGCAAAGAAATCATGTCACTGCAGGATATTCTTTCAGAAAAATGTCGTTTATACAAGTATGCAAGATGTTGGCTGTTTTCTACAGCTTCCTGGCCTGTAAGTTATTTCTTCCTTTCTTGGTGCCTTGTGCATTTTGAAACAATTAGGGAACAATAACCCTCTTTAGTAAACACTCCTGGACTTGTTTTCAATGCATAATAAGACTTTGAGATAATTGTTCACTTTCAAAGTGATGCCCGGTCCAAAGGCATGCAAACCGTAATGTAGTCTATGAAATCCTTTACTGCTGCACTTGCCTGACAAATATCAATAAGCCAAGTACAGTTAGCTTCCTCTCTTTGTTAACCTCTACGTGTGTATGTTTCCTCAGCATTGTACCTCTCTTATCCCATGGGGTTTTAGGTCCTCAGAAGGGAACCAAAAACAAAGTAGTGGAAAAATACAATTATCATTGATTCATGACATTTGGGTTAACTTTACAATGTGAAATTGTTAGTTCAGTTCTTGAGATTGTGGTTTACATTGTTTGTACTTTTTAATCATGTGTGTAATGAAAGCCCGTATGACAGGGTCCTTAAAATGTGCCTATTTTAAAACAATTTGAATGTGTTTGTCGAAAGTTTAGATCACAACTGTTTTTCTGGTCTTGCAGAGTAAGATCGTGTTTTAGAATCGCCTGAGCAGCATTATAAAACATTTTAAGGTTCGTTGTAATTTTCATTTTATGAGATTCCGTACTAACAAATCAATAATCCTAAATAAACTTTTTAGATAGGTTTTGAATTTTAACTAATGATGGCCTTCAGTCTGCTGTATGAAATGATTTGAGAAAAGGTCATTGCATGCCTGCGTGCACGCACGCGCGTGTGTTTTCCCTTCTGCTGGAAGACCTACAGATACAATGACATTAAAATTTAGCATCATAAAGCCAGATGTTCTCAGGCTAAAAGGGTAGGTAGGCAGATTTGAAGGCCCCATTGTCCAAAATTGTTCACACCTGACTTTCAATAAAGGTTTGTTTCATCTCAAAGCGTGTGCAACTGATAGTGGCATACATGATGCATGATTTTTAGGAGCACCTGTTCAACTTCTCCTTAATGCAATTATCTAATCAACCAATCACATGGCAGTTGCTTCAACGCATTTAGGGGAGTGGTCCTGGTCAACACGATCTCAACTCCAAACTGAATGTCAGAATGGGAAAGAAATGTGATTTAAGCTATTTTGAGTGTGTTTGAGTATTTCACAATCTGGTCAGTTACTGGGATTTTCCACACACAACCATTTCTGGGGTTTACAAAGAATGGTGTGAAAAGGGAAAACTATCCAGTCCTGTGGGCTAAAATGCCTTGTTGACGCTAGAGGTCAGAGGAGACTGGGCTGACTGATTCAAGCTGATAGAAGAGCAACTTTGACTGAAATAACCACTCGTTACAGCAGAGGAATGCAGCAAAGCATTTGTGAAGCCACAACACGCACAACCTTGAGGCGGATGGGCTACAACAGCAAAAGACCCCACCGGGTACCACTCATCTCCACTACAAACAGGAAAAAGAGGCTACAATTTGCACGAGCTCACCAAAATTAGACAGTTGAAGACTGGAAACATGTTGCCTGGTCTGATGAGTCTCGATTTCTCTTGAGACATTCAAATGGTAGAGTCAGAATTTGGCGTTAACAGAATGAGAACATGGATCCATCATGCCTCTGTGCAGGCTGCTGGTGGTGGTGTAATGTTATGGGGGATGTTTTCTTGGCACACTTTAGGCCCCTTAGTGCCAATTGGGCATCGTTTAAATGCCACGGGCTACCTGAGCATCGTTTCTGACCATGTCCAGTCCATCCCTTCCATGTACCCATCCTCTGATGGCTACTTGCAGCAGGATAATGCACCACGTCATAAAGCTCCAATCATTTCAAATTGGTTTCTTGACCATGACAATGAGTTCACTGTACTACAACGGCCCCTCAGTCACCAAATCTCAACCCGATAAAGCATCTTTGGGATGTGGTGGAACAGGAACTTCTTGCCCTGGATGTGCATCCCACAAATCATCAACTGCAAGATACTATCCTATCAATATGGGCCAACATTTCTAAATAATCTTAGGTGTGTTCTTGCTATGTCATATTTCTAATTCCATGCTGTAGTTCTTTTTTAAAACACAGAACAGTTTTGTTTCCTGTTTTCCCGCTACGTTTCTAGCGGGAAAACAGGTAGCAAAACTGTTCTGTTTAAAAAAAGAACTATGGCATGGAATTTCTAAATAATGCTTTCAGCACCTTGTTGAATCAATGCCGTGTAGAATTAAGGCATTTCTGAAGGCGAAAGGGGGTCAAACACCATGTATGGTGTTCCTAATAATCCTTTAGGTGAGTGTTTTTGTTAGGGATAGGAATTAATTATACTAATCAACAAAACCTGTGATTTGTCTGAACTATTTTGTGCGCAGTCAGGTGGTCACTAGTACTACTCCGTTAAGTAACATTTATGGGTGAAATATTTTTAAATAATAGGCGATTTGTGAAATATCTACCCCACTGTATGAACAATAATGTTTTGCAATATAAAAGTGCTGCGATGTGCACGTTGACGTAACCCCGCCTACTAAGCGTACGTCACGTGCACGTGCTGAAAAGGGCGTGTGCGTGCAGTACAAGGGCGACTGGAACGCACGTCGGAGCGGCTGATAGTCGGTTTGGGGGCAAACGTCTTACAGGAGTTTTTTTCCGTAGGGGTAGACGGTGAAGAACGTGTTTTAGAAACTTACCGACTCTTTTAAACAGCCATGAAGCTTTTGTGGGCTCTCTCAGCCCTGCTGTTGAGCTGCTGGCAAGCCGATGCGACCACAGGTAAGAATATGTGTCAGCCATGTTGGATGTAGACGGTGACTTTGCCCGGACCACCAACATTTTGTTTGTTCTGAGTCGCTGCGATTCAATGTCAAAAATCTTCTCCCCGCTCCGAGATAAGTGTATGCTGTTGCTTTAGCCCTTTGACGGAATACGACGCCTTGTTGAGGCCACAGGCTATGCTAGCGAAACATTTGGCCAATTTGTGGTTCTGAAAGCAATCTACCGGAGCGCATCGTGACTAGTTTCTATGCTGAAGTTGCTACATTTAGTTAATAATCGGTCATCCAATTACTCACGTGAGATTCGTTAATCGTTTTGAAAGGGTTCTGTCTGTGGGTTTTAATTTTCATGTCGGTTTGAAGCATAAATTATGTACCAGCTGTGGAAAAACCCGCAGTTGCGTAATATTTTAATTTAAATGGTTATTGACGGTGTTACGTGTTAAGTCATTTGGCAAATGCTCAAACGCAACCTTTCAGCCTAAGATCTTAAAGATTCTGATACAAAAACAGTTTTTGAGTTTAACTGCCATGCCACAGCTCGCATCAACCGGCGATTCTTAACAGTTCAGTTTACATTCACTACATTTAACTATTCTATGCATCTCGCCTTTTTAAAGGTTTCTTTTCCACTAAATCAAGGCAGCATCAATTAATGTATCCGTATCCTATTGAATTTACGCATGTCCCTGTTTTTAATAAATATTTAAGATTTTAAAAAGGCTCATCGCTGCTTAGCTTGGCCCTTTATTTGCAGGCACGATATTTGGAGCTTTGCACAATTAGCACGCAAGTGTTTTCAGGTTTGCAGCGTTCACTACTGAAACAAAAAGAGCCCTTATCTATTCAGTTTGATTAGATTTCCCCATGGCTTTTTAGGACCGGATCCTTTATACAACTCATGTTATACATAACCTTAAATGACAATACCTTTTCCCAAATGCACAAATTCAGCCCTCATTCTTTCCAGTTTGGTAAAAACACTTATTGGGTAGATTGAGTAAAATTAGATTTCCCTAAAGATTAACATTGGTAAGAAAATAAAGGTTTGGATAAGCTTGCAGATAAAGCTCTAAAAGTATTTGGACTAGACAAAATTACAATCCTTGAAAGTTCTTTACACAATGTGCTCATTCCGCCCCAATTTTCTGTAACAGGTTTAATATAATCTTGTTACGTTAGCCCCCTTTTATTTAAGGTGCTTAACCTAGTTTAGCAGCTTTTACAATTATGCATGTAAATAGATGGATGGATGGATAAAAGCTTGCAATTTATGCTGGAGCACTTTTAATGCCATTTCTCTTTATTTTCAGCTGAGTTGACCTCTAATGCTGTTGAGTCTGTTGGCCTAACACAGCCGCCTGATCCCAGTGCTGTTATTGATCTATTTTCTCCACATTGAAACAATTATTGAGTCTTCTACTTTGTTTTTTGCATGTTTAATTCACAAAATATAAATGTTTCTCTCACTGAGTTTAAAGGATGTTTCCTTTTCCCTTCATATTTCAGGAAATGCTAAAACATGTAGAGCATAGAAACATTTCAAATGATTAAAGCATGACTAGTCATGTATGTTGCTGATCTAGTGCCACCTATTCATTTTTTACTCAAAAGAGAAGTTTCATCTTAGCTGCCTTGTACGAAATGTTAATGTACTTTTAAAAAGGTAGAACAGAACCGTAAAATATAAGGTCTCACTTGCAGAATTCTTTTGAAAACTTTGTTCCATAATTAGTTGTACATTCTAACCAGCTGGTTCAATGATGGTTTAAAAAAAATGGTAATTCAGCTTAATCCATTAGAAACTTTTATGGTAACCTTTCTGACTCAACCTTTCCAGTTACATTGTTACTGCAGCCTCTGGCCTCTCTTAAATGTCAAATACTGACTTGGGACATTTGATCTCAAACAACTTGCAGCACAATTCTCAGGTTATAGAGCAGAAGGCTATAGGTAGTATATTAGGCTTGGGCTATATTTTAGGCTTCGTACGTATGCTGTGAAGGTGACCTTTTAAAAATGGCAGCAAAGCCATTCTAAGCGGGGGGGAAGCTACATGATTTACACGGACTAAAGTTCTTGCTGACAATCTTTTGTTCTGATGACGTTTACACACGAGGGGAAGTGCATGTTTCTGTAAAACATGGGGAAAAAAATCAATAAGTTTGCTTCTAAATGTGTGCTCTGGTTTGGCCAAATGCTTCCATGTTGCCAGAGTACATGAAGGGCAGCTGTGCTTGAAAGAGGAGGAATAAATTGGATCAGCTCTTCAGTCATGTTACAATAGGGAGCTTAATGGGCCATTCCCATCTGTACCGGGTCGGCCCGGGCCGGGTAGCGTAGGTTGTTTGCATATCTGGGTGGCCTGGTATTTTTCCGGGCCAACCAAGGCTCATTCTCAGCCCTCTTCTCGAGGGGGTCTTCTTCAGGCCGACCAGGGCCAACACACCCACTGCTGACAGCAAATTCACACCTTCCATTAGAGCAAGCCTCTGATTGGTGGGTAGAATCAGCCCATTCACACCTTCCATTAGAGCAAGCCTCTTGATTGGTGGGTAGAATCAGCCCACATGGGCTTAAGACAAGGATGTGTGGAATCAACCGGGCCAGGCTGGGGCCGACTGGGGCTACCCGGCCAGGGCCGACCCGGTACAGATGGGAAAGGCCCATAAGTCACTTCCGCATCATGGGTCCCCAGAAGAACAAATAAATGAATGCAAGTCAATGGGGCTAAACGCTATTTTCTAATCCACTTTGTCTTACGCCCTGGATCGTACATATGTTATACTGCAATTTAAATGAAAATTAATGATGGGTGTTTCGACCATGCCAGTCATGTAGTTTGAGATTTATTAGCTTGTAAAAGTTTGTAATTGGCATGACTACAAACTAGAAATGGGCGCGTCGCATATGTGATGTCACCACATAATCTCCTCTGACCAAAGTAGCTGCTACTTGCCAAATGACCAGATTTGTGGTGGTTCTTTCCTCCTGTGGGATGTTTGCTGAACTTGCAGCCATTTTCCCTCATTTTTCTCCGTGTCTGGCTCAATGTCACTTTTAAGCGCATTTGTAGTCCTGGACTTATTTTCATACAAAACCTAAAATATCATTCCCCCCCATGCGTCGTCTTTAAAACTCACGGACATCATACGTGATATCCATGGCACAAAACAAGCGGAATTAGGAAATGGCGTTTTTAGTCTCATTGACATTCATTCATTTGTTGGTTCTTCCGGGGACCCATGATGCTCCCTATATAGCAGCTGTTAGATGGTTTGTAGTCATGAGCCATTCATTGGGAAATCTGGAGTGCAGCTGTCGACTAGCAAGTACAGTCCAAACACATCAACGTACCCTGGAAAGACAATTATTACAAATAGAGATGTGAAAAAATACACATTGCGATATTGTCACTGAACCAATATTTAAGTATTAATTTTATTTTGTAGAATTGAGATGCTGCAAAAATATATATACACAAGATTTGCAAGTCAAACTTGGACTGTTAGGTGGACAGTTTTTTTTAATTTTAACCACCTTTTTTCTGACAAAACTAGATCTCGCAATAACACTGGATGTGTTATCAATGCTTTTCTGACTGTTAACATTAAGCGGTTGAGTTTCTGAGTTTATCATACAATCTCATGGAAATTGGCATGGTTTTTTCAGGTATCTGAGAATAAATTTTCATCTCAGTGTTTGCTTTTGTATGTCTGCATTGCTATTTCATCCTTTACTTTTATTTTGATGGTATGCATCGGTTTTTGCTGTCTTAATTTTTGGCATGATTTCTTTTGAAGATGACCAAGCTTTTACTTGTCAACGGTCTCTAAAAATATTCTATTCTACTTACTTAACCACACCGTCCCTATAATCCACTGTGCCACTGGGTGTAAAAGCTCATACTTGGCACAAACATGCCTATTGTTGCTCTTAATCTTTTAATTATATTAAGAGCTAACAATTCTGACAACAACCAAAGATCAGGTGGGGCATTTTTTTTTTCACGGAGGTGTATTGATATGGGGGGGGGAATTGACACTCTTTGAATTAACTAAGGTATGGTCACTCTGCTAATGGCCTTCGGTGCTTTGACCATCGTCATAGGAATAGATGGGCCTGTAACGTACAGTTTTATAGCTGTACACTTGGTACTAAAGCAACACAGGTTTTCTGCTTCGACCTACTGTTCGAAAGCAGAATTACAACTGTTGTCGCCATCAGTTCATTATTTTGTAGCCTCCTTTAGCTCCCTTAAATGAGAGTAGGCTGTGTTCGTGTCACCCGTGGTTTTAGCACTTTGTTTTACTTCCAATGACACTGCTTTCCTCTTAATTCCAGGCTCTGCTTTGATGCCAACAAAAAGCTAATTTCTTTTTCATTTCAGTTTGACACTTGGCAAACTGAACACTAACTTCTAGCCTTTATATTGGTTATTGGCCAAGTAAATGGTTAACAGCAAAAACGCAGGTAGAGAGCTCCACCTAGTGAACCTACAGTTCCCACATTAAGTGCCGTTTCTGGACAGCAGAGGGCTGCTAAGAGCTCTACAATCTAAAGTTGGTAACGTTTCTATCAAGAATCACTGAAACCCTCTTTTAAAGGAAAAGCTCTGTAAAATATTAAGTGTTTTTCAATGAGATTTTAATGTCAATATGTTAAAATAAAATCTAAAACATCATTTTTATTTGCAACATTTTTTTTGGATAGCTATGGAGTGGGAACATGTAGTTTTGAGGCTGAAGTGTCAAGAAAGATTTGGTCATCTCCTGCATTTTTGTTTCTCAGTAGGTCAGAGTTTAAAGCAAGATATATTTATATAATTGGATTAAAATGTAACTCTGGCCTACATGTATGTGCTTGATTTTCATTTGTTTTATTAACACTTTCTTTTCTGTTCTTCTTTTTTTATTCCACTCATTCACTGCATTTATCAATTCATGCAATCATCTGGTCTATTGTAAACTTAAACTACTTTGCTGGGCTAACTGGTAATGGGGCTCAGCTGGTTTTATTAAGTCCCCCCTTTCCCAAATAAAGCTGATCAATGACAGTGCAGAGCTGTACTGTGAGGTGATAGGGAACCCCATTCCTGAAATTCAGTGGTGGTTTGTTGAAGGTGAAGAGTCCAATGAGACCTTTACCCAGCTATTTGATGGGGCACGGAACGATTGTGTTAATATAAACGCCACTTACATAGAACATGCTGCAAGTACCATTCACCTCACCAGCCTCAGCCTCGATGATATGGGCACATACGAGTGCCGTGCTTCAAATGATCCTGATCGCAATGATCTGAAGAAGACGCCCAAAATCAAGTGGATCCGTTCGCAGGCAAACGTTATTGTGATTAAAAGTGAGTGGCAGAGGAAACACAAGTGGACTCGAGTCAAAGTAGCTGAGCGTTGCCTCTTCCTTAACCAAGTTCTGGACATTTAGCTCCTCTGCTTTGTTTCCTGGTTCAGTACCCCCTCCAGTCCTGCTTTGTTTAGCACACAGTTCCCCTACCATTCTCCACAAAAGCTCCGTTTGTTTCGTAGTAGAATATGAACCTGTTCCTGAAGCAGAGGCAGATTGCTCCTTTTTTCCTGTATTACAGTTTAATATGTGCTTCATCTGATGCCTTTTTTTTTCTTGCCCTCATCTTAAGACATTTAACAAACAGTTTTTCTTGCAGATAATACTGGTCATACAGTTGGGAATTAGCATATGACTCTTTCAAGACACGTGATTATGACTAAATTAAAACTATTAAAAATAAAAAGGGGTGTCAAATCACTTAATTGGTGGGTTTCAACTTTCAGAACTTCAGGGTGAGTTTACATGAACTTCCCGGCATGTGTGTCTCCACTAGGGCTGGGGGTAAACGATTATTTTTAAAACGATTATTTTATCGAATAGTCGACTATTCTAATGACTTTTTACACAATTAATCTAATGATTATTTTGCTATTGCACAGTTAATAAAAAAACAAATCTCTTATCGATTTTTTTGAGGAATTTATTAAATTGTTACTGTAAGAGAATAAAGACTACAGGCCTTCCATTTTGTATAAGACTGCTTTTATTGTGTAGCGGTTGGTTATGTTCTGGTGACGTGTAGAACTTGGGAGTGCAGGCTGCTGCCTGAGGTGGCTGGAGACTGAGTGTCTCCGTGCTGCTTTGTTTTGGTCACTTAGGAGCGTGAGGCGAGGAGTTACGAGTCTTCCTGGGGAGTTTGGCTCGTGTGCAAAAAGAGAGGGACAATAACGCGGGATTTAAAAGTTAAAATGATGATCAGGTTTATTTACAACTACAAAAAATCCTATCAGCTTATCCAAACGCAAGAAGCTGTTAGCATTTTCGCTAACAGTAGCTTTACCGACGTTAAGTTCAAGTTACCAAGTTTAAATAAACCAAAAATACCCAACAGCAAACAGACCAGCACGGAGGAGAGACTGCTACCACCAAAACGGCTCTCCTCGTGTCTGAAAGAAGCTCCTTTATGAAGGGAGAAACGTTCCCGGTGATTTTCTACATCTGCAATAGACGAAGCAGCGCATCTGACCTTGGAAGTTGTTGTCCGTTGCCGGGAGACGAAGGCGGGCAAAACAGGAAAGGAATCTAGTAGCGGATGGACATTGTTCCGGGTCTTCGGTATTTGGTGGAGATGTTAGTGAAGGTGGAGAAGAGGGCGAACTAGAGGGAAAACGGGCAGATTCCACCTCTATTTACAAACTCCTGGGGATGCAACAAGTGGGCGCGGTGCGTCGACTACCAGATCTGACGTCGACAAATTTTTAGAATTGAGCCGTCGACGTCACTGAGGCTTCGCCACAGCCCTAGTCTCCACCTCACTAGGCTTGTGAATGGGCTGTTCCTGTTTTTGCTTGAGGGGGTTCCAGAAACATTTAAAGTACCTGACTAAGAGTAGGCTCTCTGAATGGCCTGGCTGAGTAGCTCAGTGGGACTTGTGCTGATTGGTTTAAACTCTGTAGGAAGTTGCATCAGCAGACCGTGTCCAGAACAACCAGCATTAGTAAAATTAGCGTAACTTGAGCAGCAGAATGGAAGCAAAGGGTAATCTTTAGTGGCTACTTGCTTTAAAATGGCTGTTACTACAACTACTAACATGGAAAAACATGGCCAAATCCCCCCTCAGTGTTATTCACAGGGCTTGTTTACGCAGAGTGCTGTAAAAATTGGCGCTTCTTCTGGTCATTGAATGCTACATTTTACATCAAATGGTAAATGGTCTGTATTTGTGTTGCCCCTTCGTAGGGTTCTACAACACCACCATCCCCAGAGCAGTTGCAATATGCTGACATCTGTGCAAAGGACTGATTTTGTATGGGCACACAAGTGAGGATTGAGACGACTCGTCTCACATCCCAGAAATTACCCTGAAGTTCTGACAATGGAAACATACCTAATGTTGCATCTTAATAGACTTGACCTCCTTCTCGATACGAACACTGATTACCCCTTCATGTTCATGCTGGGATGCATCCCAGTGTCTCGGCCTACTGAACACAGTAGGTGGCAACAAAAAATTAAGTGGTTGGCCATGAGGCATTTTTCTGCCTAGAGACTCAGTATTATTTGTTAAAGAATTGGAGCAAAACTTCTTTACAGGCACTGAAGCTGCCACTGGTGTTTATTCCCATGTGTTGCTTCTTCTGCATGCCTATACCAGAGGACCTGTTACCCTGTTGCCTTTAATGTAGTTCTGTTTTTATTTTTCCCTTTCCTGTGAAACTCCTTTTCTTCCCGTTCTACCATTATTGGGGCAGATGTCTCCATTTTGGGGAACTCTATTCTCGTTTGTATGTTTGTGTAGTGTCATGAGTATTTTCAAATGTTTGGCAATTAAAACTGTCTAACCAATAGGCACTCAACCATTGTCTCAAACCATGAGTTTTACCTCTCTGAAACTCAGAAGTTAGAATTATAAATCGGAAATGCACAAATTTGTGTGTTTAAATTTCCTCAAGGCCATAAGGTAATGTGAGCATTGGGTGGTAACTTCCTGCTTGATTAACTCGTGATCAAAAGACAATTGTTGAGTGTTTAAATTACAAAAAAAATGGAAGCTCACTAGCTTTTCTCTTGTTTTAAGGCCCAGAGATTGTTACTGGTCCTGAGATCACTAACCAAACAGCAGCTACTCTGACATGTAACCTAACTGGCTCCAGCCTTCCCATCAAAGGTTCTCACTGGACACATAATGGCAAAGTCATTGAGGACTCGAAGTCTGTTGCTACTGCTGCAGCCATCTCTTACCGGTGAGTAACTGGTAGAGCATTTAGAGGTTTAGAATAGGGCTACAGCTATCAAATATTTTAGTATTTGAGTATTCTATTGAATCTCCATTGATCAAGTATTTTATTTGACGACGTTTCAAATGAAACATTATGGTCTGCTGCTAGAAATATGAAAATAAAAACGCGAAATTAACTGGCTCAATGATGTATTAAAAATTGTCTAGTTCCATTTCCCAGCTGATATTTATAGTTAATATCGTATGGAACAACAATTGACTTGCATTTCATTCACAATATAGGTTTGTATTGACCTCATCCTAGTCAAAGTAATATATCTCAATATATTCACATATAATCAGAATTTTATTTCATTAACATGTTCAGTAGTAAGCTACTAGAAATGCTAACATTTAATTTCTACTTGTAACTATGTACTTGTGGTATATTATTATATACAGGTTGGCAACATAATCTAGTCTAAATTGTATTGAAAGAAAGTGTTGGTGAATTATATGCTACAACGGCTTGCCACAGTCCTGCTGTGGTGGATGGAGCACCACAACCAGACGGTAGCTGCAACGCTCTCTTCCAACTCTGCTGCAGAGATCCAGTATTAATGGGATGATGGGAATTTTTCTTCAGTTTGGAGTTTAGCCGTTCACAACCATCACATTTTTTCTGAACCACACTTCCTCATGAGAATGCTACCCGCTAGCTTAGCATCAGCAATTCGGCTTAGTTTAATTCTTGATCTCAAACTTTGCACTGTGTCTTGCCTTTGACAATGGTTGCTGTCATTGCTGGTGTCTTGTCCTCCCCAGCACCTATGTTACCACATGGTGATCTAGTAAAATGTGTTCAGACTGTGGAGCTTCATTTTAACGAAACTTTTATTCGGTAAAAAAATGAATCGTATCATTCGATGATTCGTTTTTTGTATTTGTAGTTGTGTTTAGAAAGGAGAGTTCACTGTTGTGCTTTTCTGTCCAGTCTTCTTTCTCCCTTGCTGCCTCCATTAGCGTTTGAGTTATGGATGCCATTCAGCCATTCACTGCTCTTGATTAGCAGGGACTGTGCAGGCATGCAGCTTTGCTAGCAGTCTTGGCAATAAGCATCAGAGCCCTTGGCAATGTGCACTCTCTTGACCCGACCTTAATTCCCCATTAGAGAGGAAAGGCTGTACCGTACTGGACAGTAGCACGAAACAAAAGTGGGATTGTGATTAAATGGGGAAAAATGAAATATTTAAGCAGACAAGCAGGTTTCGTTCTAACCCCAGCCCTTTGAGCAGAAACTGCCCTGTTGTGGATTTTCTACTCAACTAAGTGGAAAAACTAATCACCATCATAAGTTGCTTCAGCTTTGATCACTTGTCAGTTAATAGAAGCCTTTAGTCTTGGAACAGCATTTTTTTTCTTAAACGGGGTGTCTCATGAAGTTGTTTTTAATCTTCATAGTTTGGACAAGATTGACCACCACTCCAGTGGAATATATGAGTGTGTGTTTGAGACCGATCCAGAAGTGAAGCAGACGATAGAGGTCAAAAGTAAGCTGGTTTACAAATGTTAACGTTTTACTAAATATGTTAAGTATTTTTTAATGTTTATACACTTAAGGTGTTCCTTTAAAATGTGACCTTTTTGTGTGTGCGTGTGCAGTCCTTCCACATGTTGTTGCCTATAAGCACTCTGAGCATGGCAATGAGATGGACAAAGGTGTGCTCACCTGTGTGGCTCATGGATACCCCTTGCCCACTGATTGGTCCTGGTTCAAAGAAGTGGATGGAGCTCTGAAGGTGATGACATTGTCTAAAATCCTGATTTTTTTAAAATCATAATTGCTTTTTAAAAAAATGTCACCATCTTAACAGTTGGTCTTGTTTTTTTGTTGTGGCAGCCTATTACAAATGGTACTGGTGACAGATACGAGATCAAGAGCACCCCCAACAAAACCACGTTGTCTATTAATGAGCTGAGCATCGAAAATGACATTGGGGATTACAAATGCTCTGGAACCAATGAAATTGGCACCAAGGAAGACTCGATCCATCTTCGTGTTCGCAGTCGCCTGGCTGCTCTCTGGCCTTTCCTTGGCATTGTGGCAGAGGTCATCATCCTTGTGACCATTATCTTCATCTACGAGAAGAAGAGAAAGCCTGATGAGATCACAGACGGTAAGCATTTAGTCTCCCTCCCATCTTTTACATATTCTGTTGGTATTTGGGACTTTTCAAACTTGAATTAGCCCTGAGATTTAAAAACTGAAGTCACAACATTTTATCTAAATGTGAAAATCATACCTAGTTTCGTGCACACAATAAAGGTTTGGTTGTCTTTCCCCCAAAAAGGTTTATCTGGAAATGAATGTCTTTGCAGAAGAATCCTGGGTTATGATGGCAGCTGAATGTTTGAAATTGACTACAAACACAGAGTGCTTAGAGAAAATTAAACCTCTTTGTCTCAAGTAATGATTTGTGAATGTGATTAGGTGGGTCCCCTGTTTACTGCATTGTTCACTGCCAATTTTGTGGCCATGGCGTCAAAGCATTCCCTTTTGTAGGGCGATCACATTAGTGGCATGCGTACTTTAACCGGTGTCTTTTGGTTTAGGCATTTACATTTCTGAAAAGTAGCTTATGATTTGGCTTTCACTGCAGTGAACCTTTTTAATTTAACTTTTTATTTACATTTGACCTCTCTGTTCGCTGCTGATTTTGCTTTTTGGTAAGTGAACAAAACTGCATGTCAGACTGAAGTGGTTGAGCTGAAATAACCATCTGGAAACGCTATGGGAGTCTGAATGCAGTGCTTTCATAGTAACCACTTCTAAGAGGAATGTGCTAAAAGACTTGGTCACTCTTTCACTGGCGCTGACTGGAAACGCTAAGCCAGCTTCAACTCTTCACCTTCACTTTCTGCGTTTGTTTTTAAATCATTGTTCTGAGCCAATGAGTCAGATGAGACGTGTAAACTTGGTGTTGATGGTTTGACCTTGGGTAGGTTTAAAGTTAGAACTTTCAGCAACCTGTCTGCATGTTCTCTGCATCTTGTACTTAATGCATGACGAATGTTAGGCTGTCGTCCTCAGGATCAGCAAACTAAATGCCATTTGTCACCCATCTTTTGGCCATAGAGGAACTTTAACTTCTTGCCTTTATCCAGTGAATGAAGTCTTGCTCAGGAGTGAGTACACATTACCAGGATGAGTGAGCTCTGCCAGTGGAGACGTTTACCATTTCTTTATACATTTACAGTCTTTTGCTTGTATTGCATGAGCCTCTGCGATGCTTAAGGCCGACTTTAGGCAGTGCGTTAAAACGAGCACAAAGAATATTTTTCAACAGTAATTGGAAATTGGCCAAATAAATAGAACAGTTTTTCAACAAAGAATTGATTGGTTTCAAATTTGTAAATGAGAACTAAAAAAGAAATCCACTTGGTGGGCATGTATGTTCATTTGTAATAGAGTTTGATCATCTCATTGCGGTCATAATTAAGGTTTTTATTTTCAGTTTTTACTTTTTGCTTTTATTAAATAACATTTGCTACCATCTGGACGAAGCATTGGCATGTTTCTCCCTCATTGGTCAAATTTAGCGTCCTAATTCTGTCTTTCCCTTTGTTTGTAATTCAGATGATGACTCAGGATCTGCTCCACTGTGAGTAGCCTCCACAACTTGATGCATTTACTGTTACTTTAGTCTTTTCTGTTGCTCATGTTGGATATTTTTCTTCCAGGAAAAGCAATTCCACTTCAAACAACAAGGACAAGAATGTGAGGCAAAGGAATTCCAACTAAAAGCTGAAGGTGAGTGAAATGTTTAGTAGAAATGAGGTTAGTAAATGTCACGATTCTGGGCTAAGTGTTTTTTGTTTTTGTTTACAGATGGAGATGTAGTTTGCACTCCAGGGATCAGCTGTTGTGGCACATCATAGTGTGCACCCTGCAATTTTAAGTTCCTCTCTGTGCTTGGGTGTTAATGTTGTAGGAAGGTGATTTCCTCCTGTTCTTTCTAAATCCTTATGAGAATGCTATTCTAGCCAAGTTTCTTGTTAAATTCATTGGAATGTTAATCTGAATGCTTAGATTGTGGTGTTTTTTTTTTTGTTTTGTTTTTTTGCCAATGCTTCCTGCACAAGCCTTCAGTTGTTTTACATCTGGAATGGCCAAAAGAAAGCTAAAGGGTTCCAGGACCTGATCCTGTTGCATCACTGCATTCTCACAGTAGGGCCGGCTCGGCCTCCCTCCGTTCTCACTGGGGAGGAGTGGACTGCTTTTAATCAGTTGGTCATAATGCCATTACAAATCTTATGAGGAAGAATTTTACTCTTGGAAAAGCTGTTTTCGTCTTTTTTCGGTTTTTTTTTTATCCCAATGGAATTATTAGACTTGATACTTTAATATAGAAGTGACTAGCGTTAAGCTTCTGCTGGGTTTAGCTTTCTGTAACGAGTGGTTTTCGGTCAGGACATTTTTATATTTTGCCAATTTACCAGGCAGCATTTTAAACACATTTTGATCAATATTTCTGTTGAATTCAGTCTCATAACAAATTCCTTTGGTTCAAGTGCAACAGATGCAACTTTAATGGTGTGCATGTCAAAAATTACTGAGGGAATTAAACCCATTGTGATTTTAAACACTTGTGTCCAACATGTTTAACTGCTGTCTTTGTTCTGTGTAGGTAATTCAAAAGCCATATTCTATTTAACCTGAGTAGTGTTGTGATTGAACGTTACTTATTAGAGTTGCAGAAAAGTAAACACCTGGCCAGAATTGTGTAAACTGTTGTACCTTCCATAAACTAGGAATGCCATCACGTACAACCTGCACAAACTGAAATAAAGATTGTTAAATTAAAACTATTGCATTTTTATTCACATTTCCCCATGTCTAAGTGGTACCTTTTCTGTCTTAAGTTTTTGTTAACTAATGTGGAAACTTTAAATACTAAAGGTTTTAAATACTTAAGGTTTTAGTTAAACATCTTTAGGCTTCAAATTATTTTCTATTGGATATTTCTAAATGATTCTGTCGACGTGGCAGTTTATCCCTAACATTTACCTATAGCCTTGCGGAAAGTTTAGATTAACTTATATTGGCATTAATTTTAGCGCAGTGAGTGTTGTGAATTTGACTTTACAAAGAATGGCACACAGAGCACCACATTAAGCATCCCAAACGAAAGCTAAGGGAAAAATGAAGTTCAGTGTAGAGCAAAGCTCCACCAGCGATGGAAGCTGCAAGCGCAGCGGCCCACCACAGAATGCCAGATAGGCCAGTCCACCCCTGGTTTAGGGTTGGGCAGGGCAAGGCAGCTTTATTGCACATTTCAAACACAGGCAATTCAATGTGCTTTACAATTTTCTATTTAGTTAGGAGGAAATGGAACAGTTTTAATTTTTAAAATCTTTGTCAGTCGTGTCTGAATGAAACCCAGGTCAGCTATGATTAGCTTTAATGTTGGGCCTGGTGTATATTTAATTTTATATTTGGACAATGCCGCAAAGTCAGCTTTTGTCTGCAGACCCCTAATTTTAGGTAACACATTTTGAGTCGGCCTCAGCTTTTTGTAATGACTTAATTTCTCCACCAGATAGAGCCATTTGACCAGAATGATCCCATCACCTGGGGCATCTCGGTGACCCAGCAGGCAGCCTTCACTATGGTTTAGAGTAGATGTTGCCTAATATTTACCAACTGGTCATTTCTAATCGGTCATCAACATTAACACTGGAATGCGATAATAACACGGGATTATTGTAACTTCTTCCAGTTACATTTGTCCTTTTTTTTTGGTCCACCAGGTGAGATACTTGACGTTTGTATTTAACTATGTATTTTATCTATTTTTAGAGAGATGGTTGTTTTATTTACTCTCATCCTGGGTGTGGTTCACAGGGTTTCCCCTTGTCCTCAGTACGGTGGTTGTAGCCTAGGGGTAATGCTGTCATCTCCCTTTTACAAACACAATAATAGCAGCCAGTTCGCAGCCATAGCAACGCCACCGGTGCGCTGACAATCCTAAAGTGATGTGAATGGAAAGTAAAGGGCTGGTCCTGCTCCTTCCTGAGCCGCCGCCGCCCTCGCATCGCCACAAGGTCTAAGGTTCGGGTGTGTCCCTCTGATGGACGAGGAGGAGCCCACATTCCAGCAGCAGCCTCCTGGACAACCTCAGCGAACCAGTTTGAGCGGATGTGAGGACCATGGTAGTGGTGGGGGAATTAGGATGAAGAAATTTACCCTCGGAGGCGGGGCCGCGTCCGCTGCGCGTAAAAACTCCAACAGCAACGAGCTCTGGCTCTTTCCGAGCCAGGGCTGCGCTGTCTCTGCTCTGAGCCAGAGGGATGCTGCTGGTGGCTTTGAGACAGACGACTGGACCAGAGGGGACACAGCTTCAGAGGTGTCAATCAGCATGATATGCAATAAAAACGGAGACTGTAGGAGAGATCCTACCAGTTCAGGGAGTTTGTCTTCCCTCATCTCAAGACAGGAGAAGCAGGCGGATGGAGCCGGAGCGAGAGAAGACGAGGGGGAGTCTGCAAGCGGGGATGCTTCTGTCCCTTCAGCGGGGTCCCTGACCCAGGGGCCCGGAGCCGACGTCAAGGCAAGCGCAGCGATGGAGAAAAAGGACTCCAGAGTCTCCTTCTCCAACGTCCCGACTAGTATAGGACACTTTTCAAGTCAGCAATCCAGAAACTCTGTCACTTTTTCCAAAGCAGAAGAAGGTTCCCATATAGTGACGGATGATGGAGACAACAGAGGGAATCAGACATACATGCAGCGGCAGTTCAGCTCCATGCTTCAGCCTGGAGTTAACAAGTTCTCCCTGCGCATGTTCGGGAGCCAGAAGGCGGTGGAGAAGGAACAGGAGCGCGTAAAGTCAGCGGGCAACTGGATCATCCACCCATACAGCGACTTCAGGTATGGGACGGTCTGAGTTAGCGCGCTGCTGGACTGAGTTCATCTGGAGTGTCTGAATATGAAGTCAACTAAAAAGACCATTACTACTGATGAATAATTGAATCTAACTTACATTTAAATGTTGGTCAAATAGAAGAGATCAGCGATGGATAGTTTATCTATCTGTTATTTTTAATTAAAAGTGGTTAATTTGGTGAAGAATCTTGAGGAATGCTGCAAAAGATCCCATTCAGCACCAAGGACAGCTCCGACAACTAACCAGAAAAATAAATCCTAATTTCCGGTTCTTTTGATGAAATACATCAAAATACCATGACCCGCACTTGTATAGCGCCTCTCAGAGTAACGACTCCAAAGCGCTTTACACTACAGTGTATCATTGATCCATTCACACACAGATGGTGATGAGATACTATGTAGCCACAGCTGTCCTGGGGCCTCCGACCACCACCAGCAGGCAAAGTGGGTTACGTGTCTTGCCCAAGGACACAACAGCAGAATTCTCTGTCCAGAGACGGGATCGAACCTCCAACCTTCCGATCACTGGACAACCCGCTCAACCTGTTGAGCTACTGCCATCATAATATTTCTCTGTCACACACTTAGTGCAGACCTATTGAATTCAATTCAATTCAATTCAAGTTTATTTATATAGCGCCAAATCACGACAAGAGTCGTCTCAAGGCACTTCACATAATAAACATTCCAATTCACAGTTCATTAAGCCAATCAGAAATAATGTTTCCTATGGCATGCATCTTTATTAAAACATGATTTAGTCGTGAATTGGCAATAAAATTCTGCCATTTTTTTTATTTCTAAGCTGATCTGGAAAAGCTCAAGATGACAACCAAAATGTTTAAAATCGCTCATATTGATAAACATGATAAACCTTAAAGGCTTAATGTTAGGGAATATTTTCATTTACGCGTTTAAAAATGTGTTATTTTTCATTAAGAATTTATTGGATGATGAAGAGCAGCAACACAATACAAAAAAGGGTTCAAAGGTTTTTTATTGACATATTATGTTTTGCACAGTGCATGGCTTAAATGTTGATTTTAAGTTATTTGTCTTGAGTCATTTAGAGGATGAGACTCTTTTCTTGTACAGCTGCTTTCCTTACCTGCTCGATGTTCATTTTTATCCTTTATTTTAATTGATGACCTCCTTTTTGTACCAAGTCAGGTGATGTAAGCAGACGAGTTGATGCAATTAGCAATTAAAAACACACAAATAAACAAATTATTTGCAAGTCTTTGTAGTGAGGGTACCTTTTCTCTGTGCCGCCCTTGAAAATGGATCCCTACGGTTGAAAATAAATCTATAAATACTGCTGGAGCAAAATCAGCATCTTTGTTAGAATTTGATATCAGCTGCAAAGAAGCTCCTTTGTGAATGTCCAGGCATTAAAATGATAAAATTTGATTATGGTGCAAAAGTTCTTTTATGTCAGTAATTCAGCTTAAATGGTGACAGTAATACATGAGATAGACTAATTCCACGCAAAGTCAGATATTTCAAGTATTTCTTTGTTATAATTGCGATGATCATGGCTTACAGCTTAGGGAAACCTCAAATTCAAAATCTCTGATAATTAGAATATCACATGAAATCAATAAAATGAGGAGTTTAAATGATATTACCTCTGAAAGAGTAAAATCATGAATATGTACTCAGTACTTGGTGTGGGCCCCTTTTGGTTTTACTGAAACAAATGGACTTTTGCACAATATTAAAATTTTACGACTTTCACCTGTAGACTCTAAACATAAATCAACTAAAATTCAGTTTGGCTTTTTAAATTTAATTTGCTATAAGAGTCCATTGTCGACCTTAATGCAGCACCAATCCTTATTACCAGGTTCTACTGGGACTTCACCATGCTGATGTTTATGGTTGGCAACCTGATCATCATCCCCGTTGGCATCACCTTCTTCAAGGATGAAACCACCACCCCTTGGATCATCTTCAACGTGGTGTCCGACACCTTCTTCCTCATGGACTTAGTCCTCAACTTCAGGACGGGCATCGTTTTTGAGGACAACACAGAGATCATCCTAGACCCCAAGAAAATCAAGAAGAAGTACCTGAAGAGCTGGTTTGTGGTGGACTTTGTCTCCTCTATACCTGTGGATTATATCTTCCTCATCGTGGAGAAGGGGATTGACTCTGAGGTGTACAAAACAGCCCGTGCACTTCGAATTGTCCGCTTCACCAAGATCCTCAGTCTGCTGCGTCTTCTGAGGCTGTCCAGGCTGATCCGGTACATTCACCAGTGGGAGGAGGTATGCTGAGTTTCCACACTTATCACACAAGCACAGGGGCAGGAAGGAAGGTTGGGGGGCTTATCGTTAGAGGGATAGCTTAGAAAACTATTGAGTTGGGTTTTTCATACAAAACCGTGAATGATTGCAGATCAAGAATGCACCAACCACATGTCTGGTGATTGGAACTCACCGTTGATCAGAATAAATGGTGATTAGCCAATCAACCTAAAATATAAATGATAACATATACATTTAGTTTTAAATACCTGGTCAACCCGCAGCAATGAAAATTTTAATTTACTTCTCACCAGAAATAAAATAAGAACACATTCTGTTAACGTTCTCTGAAATCAGCACCAGCTGGTCATAGCTGGACGACTAGAAATCAGCATCAACCCTCAGAACCAGAATCGTCAAAAAATAAAATGTCCAACTGATGAATCCTTTACCTCTACATGAGAACAAATGCTGTAATGCTGGTAGTAGGAAGTGAAATGGTTGTTGGTCACATTTCCAATCTGGCGTTGGACTTGAATCCAAACACAGTTAAACTGGAAACTGTTTGCTTTTTTGAAAGTTACACAACTTAATTATTAAACTAAATTGGCTCTATTAAAAATAAAACTCTTCAATTGCAGGATGTATTTGAATTTATTTTATTTATTTATTTACTTTCCCCGTGTCCTGTCTGGCTGTGAAGCAAACAGAATTGATGTCTGAATGCTGGTGACAAGCCTTACAGATTTACTCTCAGGTGGAGCATCAAAGCGTCTGCTTTTAATGTCACGCCTGATACTCAAAACTTTATTGTTATTGTTTTTGAATGCTTTGTAATTCCGACCAGACACGGAGACAGAGGTGAAAGAAAGAAAGAAGGAAAAGACAAAAGGTGGGGGGAGAGGGAGAGAGAGGGGGGTGTCCACAAAAATAAACAATAATGAACAAGATTCTGCTTCTAGGCCTGCAGAAAGAGAAATACAATAAAATAAAATAAAACTAGAAAAATTGCATTTATTGCACAAATGCTGTTTGAATGCTGGATAGCTTAAATTGTAAGCTGAAGCTGCTGAACAGCTGAACTGAAGCTGAAACAAAGCAAAACTGTCCAAATGAGCTGAATGAATTGAAAGATGTAGAAGCAAAAAGCACCAACAAGCAAATAAAGCACAAAAAGTAAGTGAAGAATAGAGAAAAATCATCCTCAATAGTAAAAAACTGAAATCTGTGAACATTGTTTAAAAAAATGGACAGCTAAAATGTCTAAACACCTGTTATTTAAGTAGGACTATTTTAACAGTTGAATTTTTACATTTAGCTGAACTGTGAAATTAGCATCATATGCTGAATTCAGAAACTTAATTGCCGAAGCTGCTGAATAGCTCAAGTGAAGCTGAAACTAAGCAAAACTGTTAAAATGAGCTGAATGATTTGAAAGATTTAGAAGCAAAAAGCACCAAAATGTAAATAAAGCACAAAAAGTGAAGAATGGAGAAAACAATCCTAAACAGCAGAAAACTGAAATCTGAACATTAAACTAAACATTAACACAAAACTCTGGACAGCAAAAATGTCTAAACACTTGTTGTTTGAGTAGGACTAGTTTAACAGTTTCATTTTTATATTTAGTTGAACTGTGAAATGAGTAGCATAAGCCAAATTCAGAAACAGATTGCTGAAGCTGCTGAATAGCTGCAGTGAAGCTGAAACTAAGCTAAACTGTCAAAATGAGCTGAATGTATTTAAAGATTTAGAAGCAAAAATCACCAACAAGCAAGGCCGGATTAACCATTTGGGCAACTGGGCATTGCCCAGGGGCTCACGAACCCTAAAGGGCCCTGGCCCAGGGCAGCAAGGGCACGAGCAAAATACTGTATCTGTAATTTCCCGCGTTATTAGTCCTCTTTTCTCCGGACATGTCCACTTTTCACTCTCTGTCCGGCATCTGGGGGTTTTTTGTATTGATGAAAATGTCCGGGTTTTCATGCAGGAGCAGGGATCGAATTATCGGGGAGATGGATATCCTACACATCCAGGGAGAGCCGGAAAAAATAAACGTTTTCTACCTATATTACATCATTCATGACTCTTTTGAGCAGAGAGCGGCAGAGCGATGATTGGTGCGCAGCGCTCCGGGCTGCTGCGTCCAGCGCACGGTCCATTCTCAAAGTGGCGCAACCAAAAAACTATAATTAACACACGATCGTTCATGTCCACACGTGTTCTCTACTTTCTGTCTTATTTGTGCCTGAAGCTCTCTGCTACTGCGGAGCTCATCACCTGTGCTGCGGTGATTTCACCTCACTGACGCAGCATTGACGCGCACTCCGCTTTGTGGTCAGGAGATCCCTTTGATCTGCTCAGAAGTAACTGATGAGGTGAAAAAGTAAGAATCCAGGCAGCAGTTTTTCTGGAGAGTTTAGAGGAGATGCAGGAAGATGAGAGACAGACAGGACAGGACATAGTTAAATAAAAACAAGAAAACAAAACAAAGTGTTGAAAAGTAAAATGTACGTAGATTTATCTCCACTACACGTTTTTACCTGTATAAAACAATAAGTTCTACACATGTCATATTTATACATCTGATACAATTCAGATCACCTTCAAAACTCTGTCACACACCCAGGGCCGTTTCAAGACATTTTGGGGGCCAAGGCAAAATGACCCCACCCACCCCCACCCCCCCTAACTGGGCTCCCCAGAAGCCTCTGTGTAATCCAAACCCTCTCCAGGAGTATTAGTTATACAGTGTTTATAAAAGCTCCTCAGGCATCGCTGACATGTTATCAGATGAAAAACTAAATTATCAGACACGCTGTCTCATCTGCTTCTTTTCTAAACTTGCAAAAAGTAACAAAACCATTTGAAAGCCACTATTTGTGGATTCTCTGGAAGTTTCCATGGAGTGTGTGACAACTTATTTTTTCAGTGATCCTATCGTCTAATCTCACAGCTGAAACAAGCATCCTTAATAATCGTGCACAGGAAGCGTACCGATACTGTAGTAAAACAAAAGGTATAATAATTTCTTATTAATAAAACCTTGTTGCAGCACTAAAGCAGAAAAATTAGATTTTGCATTAAATATGCTAAATATTTGCATATGAATTGTTTGAGAGCCCTTTTATTGGCAGAATCTGATATTAATTTTAGTTCTTACAACGAAATGGGTCCCAACGTCATAGGCACAGATCCCCTGTCCTCTTGTTTGGAAATGGAACTATGGTCACCCTGTATTAAACAAACTGTCTACCCGGGCTTTTGCGCTGCACAGAGACGCTTCGCCGCCTATGACTGAACGTCAGTTGAGAGTCAGTCTCATGCAGACTGACCAATGAAGAGAGGGCCTCATGTTAAGACTCCTCATTGGTCAGTCCACATGAGGTGGGCCAAAGTTTTCCCTGAGCGGGTTACGTGATACCAGGCATTCAAGTATTGAGTATATTTACTGCATATTAGTGAAATATTCTGTATGTGCATAGGCGTCATTTTAACCGGGGACACCGGGGACATGTCCCCGGCAAAATTTGTAATTGGCAGCTGTGTCCCCCCCACTTTCAAAAAAGCCTGCTGATGAGGATTTTTGTTTTACCAGCTCAGATCTTATACCAGGGGTCGGCAACTTGTTCCCATCAAAGAGCCATTATTACCCATTTCCCACAGTAAAGAAAACACCGCAGCAGTCGCATCGTTGTGGGCGGGGCCTACCCTCAGACAGCAGAGCGCTGCTCACAACAGGTGACAGCAGCCGGTACCATGGGCGTCGCACCCGTGGGGGATTCAACACCCACACTTTTCCAGCTGTTTTGCTCACCTCCACACCAGTCTGGTTTCTTTACGTCACACTCACTCTGTTTGCCTCATCTCCTTCTTCACCTCTGCTTCTGACAGCCGATGTCGGGTTTCCAGGAGAGCAGGAGAGGGAGGGACGGAAGAGCTCGACTGAATAATTTTACATCTTGACATTAGCTGTACAAAGTCTGAGTTTGATAAAATGAAGAACAACAATTTGCAGAGGTTTATAACTGGCGCGGAGCCAGGTTTTCATTTTTGGGTGGGCCACGGTAATTTTGGACGGACCTTAATAAGCAGTGACTTAGTGAAGCAGGCAGGTCGCGCTAGAAAATTTAGTTTAAAAAGACGTCATAAATGTGTTCCCCCGTCATTTTCGTCTTCGTCTTCGTCTTCCTCCGCTTATCCGGGTCCGGGTCGCGGGGGCAGCATCCCAATTAGGGAGCTCCAGGCCGTCCTCTCCCCGGCCTTGTCCACCAGCTCCTCCGGCAGGACCCCAAGGCGTTCCCGGACCAGATTGGAGATGTAACCTCTCCAACGTGTCCTGGGTCGACCCGGGGGCCTTCTGCCGGCAGGACATGCCCGAAACACCTCCCCGGGGAGGCGTCCAGGAGGCATCCTGACCAGATGCCCAAACCACCTCAACTGGCTCCTTTCGATCCGGAGGAGCAGCGGTTCTACTCCGAGTCCCTCCCGAATGTCCGAGCTTCACACCCTATCTCTAAGGCTGAGCCCGGCCACCCTACGGAGGAAACTCATTTCGGCCGCTTGTATCCGCGATCTCGTTCTTTCGGTCATTACCCAAAGCTCATGACCATAGGTGAGGATTGGGACGTAGATCGACCGGTAAATCGAGAGCCTGGCTTTCTGGCTCAGCTCCCTCTTCCCCACGACAGATCGGCTCAGCGTCCGCATCACTGCAGACGCCGAACCAATCCGCCTGTCGATCTCCCGATCCCTCCTACCCTCACTCGTGAACAAGACCCCGAGATACTTAAACTCCTCCACTTGAGGTAGGACCTCTCCCCCGACCCGGAGGTGGCAAGCCACCCTTTTCCGGTCGAGAACCATGGTCTCAGATTTGGAGGTGCTGATCCTCATCCCAGCCGCTTCTCATTCGGCCGCGAACCTACCCAGCAAGAGCTGAAGGTCAGAGCTGGATGAAGCTAGGAGGACCACATCATCCGCAAAAAGCAGAGACGAGATTCTCCTGCCACCAAACTCGA